ATATACGTGCCTATCTTGCCCCATTACTGTTGCCCCTATACCAGGGGCAACTTTAATAAAAATAATTAAAATAATTACAACTTTACAAAAAGAGAGAAGTTGCCGATCTTGCCCCTATACCCGGGGCAACTTCGTCAATTTCTCTCTTCTTGTAAAGTTGTAATTATTTTAATTATTTTTATGTCCAAACTGATTTTAACCAGATGTATAGCAAGGTAACATTCCAATAGACAATATGCAAAAGGTTTTTTTCAGTTTACAGCAGTATTTATTACACAAAATTTAAGTAAAGCTTAACATGCCGATCTTGCCCCGATCTCCCCTATATTTTTAAATAATTTTACAAAAGATCTCCTTTAATTAATGTATTTAATGAACTTTTTATACCGATAATTGTCTTCTAGATTAGTATTTTCTACTTAAGAATAAAAAGTTATACATATGACGTTATGTTTTTATCGTTAATAATGTTTAAAACATTAATAACAACAACTTTTATATAGCCGTAGGCAAGAAAATTTTGTTTGTGACACGATTTTACTTCAGAATAATTGTTTAGTTTTTTCCTTTCCTACAAACCTGTGCAATAGAATTGTATTGAAAAATTCTCGAAAGTTTACTTTCTTTCAAATAAGCATATTAGTTTATCTTGCAAAGAATATTGCAGATTGGTGTAAAATATTGTTAATTATTGGCTATGTAATAGGTTTTTCTTATAACACTTATTAATATTTTTGTATAATAAAATAAATTATTTGTCCAAAATAATACCAAATAAATATAATATATTCTTAACAAGTTGAGGTACAAGTTACTTAACTTCAAAAATTACAGGATACATTGCCTAATTGAGCTGCAATTCAAAAATTTCCAAATCTATAAATTCCAGGTCTTGTCCGTTGACTGTCTGTCCTTTCTTACTCTATACAACAAAGCACGACAAATAATAGTCGAATTCAGATGTGGAAAGACGTAGGAGAGGCGTTCTCAATTAACTATATACTAATTACTGGTTGTTATTTAAATCAAAAATTTTCTCATGAACGGAGTTTGATAGCAATAGTCGTGTCAATCATCTATCAGGAAAAGTATGATATACAGGAGCAAAATACTATTAAAAGATAGAACATTGTGACGATATCACAATAAGTAACTGTTCATTTTTAACGTTTTTAACATTTTAGATAATACCTTAAAAATGAAGTAAACGTTATTTATATTTATTGTTAAATTGTATCCCAAATATAAGATGAATGTATTTTCTGTAAAATAGTGAAGATCCGGACGTCAAAAATCTGGATTCGATCTCGAAAAATGAATAATACTTTCAATGCTGATTTCGTTGAAATTATTTGGACTTGGGTTGATGTAAAATTCTAACGTTCATTCAGATTTCGTAGTCCTAATTTAATTTTGAAATTAAATAGTATATTTTTATTGTTTAAACATAGTGAACTTGTAAATTATATTTTCAATATGTGTATTCCTACATTCATTGTGAAATAACTGGCTTAAAATTAAAACATCTAAACTTGATTTTCAGTGTTAATATAAATATAATAAGTTTAAACTTATTATATTTGTCAACTGGACATATACTATTAATATGACTGTTAAACTGGTATTAAGTATTAACACAAAATTGAGTAAAAGTTCTTAAAGAAAACAGAATTTATTTATAGAGCCTCCTGTACACATACTTTTGTTTACAACTGTGTTTCGGGCTATCACGCCCCTCTTCAGCAGGGTTACAATGGCTATCATCTTTGACTACAAATGTTAAATACATTATCAGTAAATTAAAAAAAAAGACAACTAAAAAAACTAAAATTACTAAAATTAATACAATGTAATAGGCTTACGAAATACAAGAATCCAACTCCCGACAATAATAGGCTTTTTCGTGGATTTTTAAATTGATTCATAATCCTATAATAAAAATTAAAATTACATTGAAAATTAAAAACATACAAAAAATTTTTTAAGATACGGTTTCTAGGGAGATATTTTACCTTACAAATGTTTAGCTTGAACTTACAATACTTCTTCTTCTTCTTTCCTTCTGTGATATGAAGATTCTGGCTGGTCACCTTTTCTCCGATGAACTTACAATACTTTCGCGTGTTGAGTAGGCTATCATTTTTACCTGCAGTCGTTATCGAGGATGGCTGCCCATGATTGGTTCTACCTAAGATATTGTTTATTCTATTTTTCTTTCTTTTAATATTTATATGCTCATATAATTGTCTCTTATAATTTTTTGGTTCTCTTTTCTTTATTTTAATAGTATCTAATTTTATTTCGCAACCATTTTTATTAACATGTTCAGCTACTACTGAATTTGCATAATTTCCTCTTATTGCACGTATATGTTCTTTTATTCTTGTTTCTAATTTACGTTTGGTTTCTCCGATATATGTTTTACTAGGGCAATTAAAAGAATAAACTACTTCCTTTTCATTCAATTAATCTATATTTTTGTCTGATTTAATTTTCAGTGTTTTTGAATTTTACAGTAGATCTACTTAAAATGCTAATTTACACATATATTTGAAAATCCGAATGTAATCGGCTCCAATTAGTCCGGATTTTAGACCCTTCACTATAATAGATATGTGATGTAAATAGGCCTTTATACAAATTTTTAATTGAGACGGAGCGTTAGCGAAGCCTTTTCTATATGGCTTACAGAATTGTGTTCGTTCTCAAAATTTGGTCGACCGATTTTGATTAAACTTTGCCAATTTCTATTACGATGGAGAATCGAAAAATGCAATGAAAATCCATTAAAACGTAAAAATTCATAGTCCATGATTTCGTTTTTGTTATATAGAAGTATTAAAGTGACAATGCCAGCGCTCTCTGATGCGACTGGGCTGAAACAGAATTTAGGCTTAGGGATTAAGAATAAAAACAGCATTGCGGAATATAGGCGCGAAAAACAGACAAAACACAAGTGCAAAGCAATCGATAACAATTGCTTTGTTTTTGGATCGCGTTCAAGGATTGGCGATCCACGTACTTTCCTCTCCTTGTCGACAAGTGCAAGGATCTTCTCTCTGTACCTGGCTAGTGTAGGGATCGTGTCTTCCACGCCTGCATGTACTGTATAAGAATCGCCTCTTCTGTTCAAAGATCGCTCCTTTCTTTCCGGCTCCGTCTCAATTCTATCGTGATATGACAAAGTCGCGCGATGTTCTAGTTATTTTATTTAACATTCTGCATATTTTTATCTAATTTTCATATATAATGAAAAAAGTTTTTATTAATTATTTTATTACAAATATTGAAATTTATGTATTATTCATTACATAAAGCAATTAATAACTAGAATGGTTTTTACATGAAATAATTTTACCGACAGTTTTTTAAAGTTCCCAGTTTAGTTATTCTCTTTAAAAGTATGTATTCTCTTCCTCGTATATCAAATATAATGTTTTTCTTCCTGTCACTTAATGCTTTTGTTGCTATGATGTAGTTAAATCCAAGCTATTCTTTAGTTCGCTTGATTGATTTTATCTTCTATCATCCATCTATAGCAGTGGTTCCCAACCTTTTTTCATTAGCGTACCCCGTGACATGTTATATCTCTAGATTGTACCCCTCATTTAAGAAATTTAGTGAGTAACCGTATTGTTAATTTTACATATTGTAACTTTAAATTAAAGAAAAAAAACCTAAAAGAAAAAATGTATAATAAAGTTGTGATTGTTGCAAGAAACATTTTTTATCTAATAATTTTTTAATACTATTAGTTTGTGATACATAATATATTATTTTTTCTGCCATAATAACTAACTTCTTTCTGTACCCCTAAACAACCTATCGTGTACCCCTAGGGGTACGCGTACCACAGGTTGGGAATCGCTGATCTATAGCAATGGTTCCGAACATTTGAATGATCACGGACCCTTTAATAAAAGACATATTTTAGCGTATCTTTATTTTCAGCTGTTAGCTTTTAGTCAGTAGTTAATAAACTACATTAATTAATAATAAGCATCTGAGGAATCTTATGTTATTATTATTTTATTTATTTATTTAAAACTTAATATAGCTTATTAAATATTATAAAATACTGTATTAATATTATCTAAAGTAAGAAAATAAAATAGTTTTTAGAATCCAAGTTCAAATCACACCAAGCAGACAAAAGTGAATATTCATAAATTTCTAGTTACCTTATAGAAATGCTGAGAAACATTTAAAAATGCATAAAGCTTTCAGCCTAATTTATAGACCACCTTCAGGTGAGATAATTTCGAACGTTCGAAACTGCACTCTAAAATAAATTAGATTAATTAAATAAATATTAATTAAAAAAAGTAAAATTAGATAAACATCTCATTTATTCATTACTCCTTCTGAAGATCGTTCGTGTAGAAAGTATGAGTTTATACTTGCACACTCAAAATAATTGAAAACTGATATAATTAATAATTAATAATTGATTTTTATCACGTATTTTTAAAATTAAATTTGGCAATTTTACTTTTAAAGATTTTTCACCACTATCCGAGATCTTACAACGTTTTGTATTAAGTAATTTGTTTTCTTTTTATAGCTAAACTGAATTTTATTGGGCTGCAATTTGAAAAAAATTTTAGCCCAATAAATTTCTACTGTTTTCTATCCGTCGATCCGTTCGTTGTCTGTCTTTCCTTATTCTCGAGACAATAGTTCGATAGATTAAAGACGAGACAAGAGATGGGAATAATAGGGGCAGGAAGCTCCGATTAACTATATATGAACTTTCAATGCAAACCGAAAATCACTTTATTTCAATTCAAAACTTTTCCCTAGAGCTGTTAATAGATGATCGGTACGACTTTATTGCTAACGGAAATGTATGATGTACAGTACAGTACAGGGACAAGACAGTACAGTAGTAATTTGAGGTTTAGAGTATATTTTAAATTAAATAAATTTAAAATATTACTAAAAATTTCAGCCCGGCATTTTGACGATGTCATAAGTAATTGCTCGTTATTCCTAATATTCGTTCAAATATAGGTTCCTGTGCTCATGCCCTTAGATTTATAAACTAGGATTCTACTGCTCTACAATCTGATTTAATAATATAAATAAGCTTATTGCCCGAATGGAATTATATAACCACAGGATTAATATTAGTAAAACAGTTGCCATATGTTTTTCTTTTTACAAACATAACCTCCTTTCTTCATAGATAGTTACCGTATTAACTTCGTCCATACGATTAATGATTTGATCATTGTGTCTGACGAAAAGTTATCCTTTAAAAAATTATCTACAGATAGAGGTAATCTGGTGCGTCATTGTCATTATTCACTACTCGTTCTAATTTCAGAGCATTTTTTTTCAAATTTCAATCTATTGTAGGTTGTTGTTTTCCAATGTTGTCTATAGCTACCCATCTTTATAAAATTATATCTCAATTAAGGTTTACCTAATTTTTAATAAACTCGCCAATTTACTAATTATGGATTCTTGTGAGGTAGCAGAACAAAACTGGCCATTCCGATTTTAACCGTCGTATTGTTTACTTTGAAAGAGTTTTATTTTTTTTAATAGTTTAATAGTTTTTTAAATACGAAAATTTTTGCTCTGAAATGCCCAAATAGACTAATCAGGAATTCCTTATGTTGCGCTCTTCTCTTTTCGTTTTAATTTGTCCAGATTGTCTTTTCTATGCTCTATTAATGCTCGATTTAGAGGAAATTTTATTTCGTGAGTTTACTTATTTTATAAAACATTTAAAAATATAATTTATAACGAATCTTAATGCATTGTCTACCTTTCTGTTTTGTTTTTGTTTTATTCGCGTTATTTAAAGTTGAGATTTTTAAACAATATTGTTCCTAATTTTTGTTATCTTTTCACTTTCCTTAGTTAAAAATCTATATACTATAATACACTTTTATTTTTCTACTATTTGTAGACGTGTGTCTTTTATTATTCTTTCTTTAAAGTTAGACTAAATTAAATTCGAGTAAAAACACGTTCTTCAATAATTAAAATTTTTCTCGTTCATTCATTTTGTTATTGCATACAAATGTATCCTTTCAAACAGATAAGATTTATTACTTTGAAAACTCTCTTCATTTTCCTTATTTAGTCAAAAAAGTTTCTTAGAAACTTTTGTAATTGATTTTACAATTAATTATAGCGATTGTAAGTAATTAACTTTAAAAAATGAATCAGATTCTAAAATATCTAATCAGATTCTAAAATATCTAATAATCATTTTTTCCCTTCATTTATTCTTTTAAAAAGTTTCTCATCTTTTGCTCATTAAGAATATAAAATAAATTTAAAATTTGTGGATAAGTAAAATTGTGTTTACTTCACCTTAATGATGAATCAAATTTATACAGAACAATTTAATAAATCAGTATTAAAAAATCAGATTTTACTTGAAAATTAATTACACTGAAATCTTCTAAATTTACTTTTATATCACAGAAATAATAAAAGATGAACATCGTATGTTAAATTTTTTTACGTTTATCTTTATTTAAAGATTTAAGCCGCAATCTTTGTCACAGCTGTTTCAGTGCTGAGAAAGTCATAGAACTTTCTCAGCACTGAAACAGGAGTATGAAATGACCACAAATGAAGGCCGTTGACCTTTAGTTATACTTCAAACTAAAATTGAAATCATAATACAAGTTTTAAAAATTTTGTTAAATTATAAGACATTTCGTAATTTTTCAATTAACAATACGTCTAAAAATAAAATTTTGTATCACACTGTCTGTTGTGATATTTTATTTTAAAATATTTTTATATCATTAATTATTATAAAAAGGTAAAAGACTTATTTTTTGGGGTAGGGTAAGTTTTTAAAAAACTTGTAAATGAAAATAATGAGTAAAATTTGACTCCATTTGAGGTATAACACCAGTTCCTTCTCTATCTTTCCCCTCGATTTTTAACTAGAAAAATATAATAGCTTCGAAGTCCCATATAGGGGAGACCGGGGCAACTTCGGCATGCGGGGCAAGTTTGTCAAGCGCTTTTTTTTAAAAACAAATTAAAAGGAGACTTTGGTTATAGGTTAGGCAGTTGAGTTTTATTGGTGGCTTGTTGAGTGTAGTGTTTTTATTGTTCTCCAACAAGCGTAGTTGAATTATCAAGCAAATTTTCATTTTCGTTCAATTCCA